CCCTCATGGTTCCCGACTTTACGATAACGTGCGGTTGTTTTCGAATACATGTACATGTACCGAACTGTGCCTCCTTTTTGGGATTCTTTTGATCTGAAGTTGTTAGTTCAAAAACTAGTCCGATATGGTGTCACAGACACATCAAATAAAAAGCAAAAGAGCAAGATGTTATTGCGTTTCATTCATTTCCACTTTTATTCGTTCAAGTAATTCTTTTTCTTTTATAATTAAATATTTTCTAAGTTGTAATTCTTGGCTTCAAATGCTTTTATATGTTAATATTCTATTTATTTACTTCGTACACTTGATGATGAGTGGTAGGTCGTTGACCACAGTGATTGTTATCGGTTTTGCCTCTCCTATGCACATCTTGTATGTGATGAAAAAGAAATGGCATGAATAAATAGCAATAATGCGACTTAAGGCCTACAATCGGGGATTGATTTTGGAGACGAAGCCTGAGAAGGAGACGACGCCGGAGACGAAGTCTGGTATTGAAAAAACGGCCCCACGTTGAGCAGTACTACATGTACATGTATGTACATGTACATGTACATGTACTATACATGTGCCAGAACGCCGAAGAGGCAAATAGCTGGTTGAGTTTTAGTTGCACTGAGCGTTTCGCGATAAAGGTCAGTGCGACTGTGTCTATTGATTTGGTGAGAAAATGTGTGTGGAAAACACATTTTCAAAGTACACGTGTAAAATGTATCATAAGTTTATTCCAAAAACTGGGCGGGCGTGAAAATCGGGGCAGGCGGTTATGCAAACCTAAGAATTAATTTTTAAAGGCGTAAGTATTATTATATTATTATTTAGTAAAGTGGCCGTCATATCGGACGTTAACAAGGTAGGCCCAGGAAGTGTTTGCCTGTATCTTTATTCAAAAATTACGTCAGTTTTCCTTCTTTCATCCGGATCTCTGATAACGAATTAAACGTGAAGCAGTGTTCCACGTATCCAGCTAAGACCTCAGACCTGGGTGTCTTTGTGATTGGATGTTTTTTCCATACCTTAGATTACCGAAGCGTCCTGAGCCAGCAGAGAGCACCGAGGGTAAAAGGAACTGGGGTTACATCCTCTGAATTAAAATAATTCCGGATTGCGAAGGTATGGTGCTTTCATTGCGAAGGATTATGCTGGATTTGAAGAGTTCGAGATGAATTGGCAGAAGGGAAGGTTTCTTGTGATGATCACAATTAGGCCTCCTAAGCCTAAATTGGCATGCCGTGGTATTACACCCGATAAGTTGGTGAATACATCTCGTCGAGTTTTGCAGTGCAGTCATCATTGAGACTTTCAGAAAATGGCCTACACGGGCCTTTTGGTGTTCCCAAAGCAATTAAGGTTAACAGCCAAATGTGGTCGGCCGCCCAGTTTGCAGTAGGGGCTGCGGAATCATTGGTAGGCTGAGTATTCGTGTAGTAGACTAGCGTCTCAAGGACGAGCCGTAATGTGCATCAACGCCTTTAGTGATCAAATTCCTTTCAGAAAAATAAGTTGTCTTTAGCGATTTTGAATCGATCAAGCAGTTACAGCAACATGTTTAAAGGGTAGCCGCAATGCACTCTCTTTTTTAAACACAAACCTCCAAAATGCACCTCATTTTCAGTTTTTATTTCAGTTTAAAAATGTTTTGCTGCCTTTTCGTTTTTATGCTGATGAGTATTTTCATAAACCAACATATGATGTGATCCTGGAGGAAATCCTCAATATTACATTGGTTCAGGCACAAAACCCCACTATTTTTTTAAAGATTTTGCTGGCCAACAGTTCTCTTCTTTAGTTATTAATTATAACACTGCAATAAGCAGGCAAGCATCCTTCACTCTGAAATGTGAATAAAGTGAGTTTGTAATTTGAACAGAAAAGCCCATGCGCTGGCCATATCTTCCCTCAATAACATCACAGCAACAGCGTCCACAGTTGTTCAGGAATATATTAACAATTTCTGAAATGCACTCTTTTTGATGCATTCAACCTAAATGGTATGTGAAAATGATTTTCACATACTGAAGAAGAGGACCGGTATAAAACTGCAGAATATTGTGTCTAAATCTTTGCGCTACTCTTGAAGCAGAATGAACTTGGTACAAGGTGGTACTTGAAGCTTAACATTTTAGAAACTGAAGATCTGTGTAACTATACCAACTACAAAATTATTCACATTAGTCATCAATACTAACCAAATTATTCACCAAATTATTCACCAAATGTCAACATTGTCTGTTCGTACAAAATAAGTCGTTAGTAATCCATCCATGATAATGAAAATGCAATCAGTAGAAGGCATATGAACCATGGTATTATGAACATAGATTTATAATCCAACCATTAGCACTTGGGATAATTTCTTTATTAATACGGTTGTGTTCATTTCACATCGACATTTTCGCCTTTGGAGCACTAGGCTATTCTAACACAAATCTACAATGAATCAGAATTGAGGAGTTAAGAATAGAAAAATGTATAAAATTTTAACAACTAAACATGAAAACTCTATGGACAACATTTGAGAAACTAAAAAAATTCTGAAGGTGGATACATGTAATCGAAAACGATTTTAAGAAGAAAGCTCCAAAATTTAGACTCACCCCGAAGAACAGTCGTAGAAAGTTATATGACAAACATCGAAATCTCCCCACCTGAATAATTTTAGCATTCCGACCATTTGGTTCTGGGTCCATTCCTGACTGTTTTGCTTACAACTGAAAGCAAATTATAGAAGAATCAAACAGAACTACTGAAAAACAGACGAAGGGCTAACTATATGTGTGTGCTTAAACTAACGAACACATCTAAACTTCAAATTCTGAAGGAAAATTTTGTAAACAATAAAGCAAACAGTGAAAATAAGATTGGCTCTACGAATCATAGACAGTTAACATGAATGTGTGTAATTCAGCAAAGTTGCACACATTGTTATTCATCAAGACTTATCTCTGAACCTTTGCAGAAATTTGAAAACTGCACTTTCTTTCCGAAGTCTCAGATCGCTTGAAAGATAGTTCCCAACTTCTGCCTATTTCACATTATTCAAAACTAAATGACGAGGGTCAAAGTTACACTTAAAACAGAAGAAACGACCAAGAGTTGTTTAGCCTAATTTCGTAATACACAACGAAAGGTCTTTCAAAGTTGATCGTTTATTAACTGATTGGCAAAGATTAAAAATTTCAATGTTTAAATTCTTGTTATTTGATTATGACAGTGTCATGGTCAGCGCAGAAAAGGCGAGTGTTAACCTGACGTTTCGACCAGGAAGCTCTAGCCGTCCTTAGGAGAGTCGGGTCAAACATGCTGGAGTTCATACTCCACACCCAAAGGACAAACAAATTCCAAGCAGCCGCCCTGATGTACACCGAATTCCATGCAAGTGCGGTCAAGTTTACATCGGTGAAACCGGCAGGAGTCTCCCCACCAGAATCCAAAAGCCCCGTGCACATGACAGACGCAGATATTACGAGAAGTCGCACATCGTCAAACATGCACAGTGTTCGAACCGTCACATCTACTGGGACAACACAGAACACATCGCCTCCATCAGGAACTGGCTTCCCAGAAGAATCCAGAAAACCATCGAAATTTTCTGGCACAACACCGTCCCTCAAGATATTTTCAAGCTCGGCGGCATCTGGCCGCTTCTGGCGCCCAATGATAACGTCCAAGAACACTTCCACTCTGGTCGAAACATCGAGTTAACGCTCACCAGTTCTTTTCAGGAACCAACCTCTTCTTGAGATAGATCCCTTGGTATACCCGCAAATCCTTACCACGTGTAATATTTTCACCACGCAAAGTTTCAAATCTTACATAAGTCATTTTTCTTGTGACTTACAGTCTGATGGCGTCATCCGCTCCAGTCCTCAGATGTTTTATTTGCATGAAAGGCGTCTACTTTTCAAGCGATTACAACAAATTTCATCAAGCACATTATCTGAAAAAGTATATTTCGGACATTATTCAACCTACCAATAGAGGGTGCTCGAGTATTTCATCATATTGCTGGTCCCCAATCTTACCGGAATCTTTCATACACGCAGCAAAACGAAAACCTGACTTAACTCTACAGCTTGCTACAAAAACCAAGCTGAGGTTTATAATGATTGATTTTATGTGAAATTTGAAAGATTAAAAGACTTCAGTTTAACCACTTAGTCTACCTATAATTTGACACCTGACGGCATCATCATGACGTCACTTTGCAGGGCTGGTACACCTCAGAATCAGAATTGATTTTTTACCAACTTTGAAGTTTATTGGGTTTTAACGTGATCAAAATGGCTTGGAGATTTATTGTCCCAAAAAAAGAGCAGGAGACAGATGAAATCATTTTTCAAAGGTGATTGTGTTTAAATGAATCACTTTATTCTGAATCTGATTAGGCCTACTTTAAACTTGCTTGAATTCCATGAGTATCTTGAAGTTAGTGATAATTAACAATCACTACTGTCTCTACAAGATTAGGTGACTGAAGCCAGATACCAGTGAATCTCTTGCCTCTTCAAATGCTGATGTTGATGCTATCTTCATAAAGGGCGATGACAAGGATAATAGTGGCACCAACCAAGAGCCCCAAATTGTGCAGTAGGAAAATGGTGCCTTTGTTCTTGTTTTCGTGATGTATCAGTTCTGGAAACTGCACACAAAAGACATAGCAAAATCAAAAACAAAAACTGAACAGTAGACATATGAAGTTTTGCGCATATTTGTATGATTTTTCTAAATTTGAATGCAATGTAAAAACTTAAAACAAACTGAGTTAATAGTAAGTCAATGGAACTCAGATGTTGTGATTTTTCCTCACCATGTCCACCAAGGCAACATACAGGAACATCCCAGCTGCCAACGCAAAGATCCACTCTCGAGCCTCTTCATTGGCAGCCAATGGAATGCCAATACAGAGTCCGACAAAGGCCATCAGAGCAGACAGGAAGTTGAAGGCCAGTGCTTTACGGAAACTAAGACCGGCATTCAGAAGGATGGCAAAGTCACCTGTAATTAAAGATTTTCCAGAGATAGTGTTCACTATCATGCAAAACAGTATAAAATAGCATTCATTCACATGAACAGAAAGCTACCTCGAGCATGTAACAGTGGCTATAACTGTATACCTGAACCATAATTATTCAGCAGCACAGCATCAAGCACAATTGTGTTCATACGTGATATTTACATGAATAGCCTAGACCTATACAGGCTACAGGAATGAGTTTCTTGAGTTTTTCTTTAGCGATTTTAAATAGATCAGGTTGTAATGTTAGCATCTATAATGTTCACATTTTGAAGCAAGATATGGGACGGAGAGAATTGTTTTACTGGAATCTCAGGAATTCTTTAAGACATCCAGGGGAATGTGGCAGGCAACGTTAGTCCATAGTTTCTATAGGGTATGGACATATAGGAAGTGGGTACCCATTTGTCCCATATCTTGCAAGGTATATACGTTAAATTTGACAAAATACAATTGCCTTGACGAACCTGCTTTAGAAAACTCAAATATTCAGTCTCCACAATTCGCAGTTATACATTCAGTATTAAACACAAGGCTTTTAGACCAACTCCAGAATATCTCACGAAGCACATAATCTTTCGATTCCATCTTTTTCCTCCTACAGTCTTCTGACAATAATCCCCCGGGTCGTTTATTTTGACGTGATGGTACCGGTACAACGCATGAAATCGAAAGTTTGTAGGTACACAAATCCTAATTCCAAGGTGTGTGCACAAGGTTGAGTCATAACGTTATCAGGTGTCAAATACCAACTATTAAGATAAACATGTTAAGCCTTATTCTATATAAAATCAATCATAGGATACCTCGTCTTGCTTTTTTTGCGGGAAGTGATACAATGAGTGTTTCATCATTCCACATGAAATCAACTAAACCTTGTTTATGGTCGAAACCAGAAGTGGGGTTTTAGTATTGTTCACTTGGTCGTTTACGTCATGAAATTTTCTATTGCCCTAAAACGGTAAAAGGTAAAACAAACTGTATTGCGAAGTTTGCTGTTATTGTGAGAAAACTGGTAGATACAACGCCTTTATGCGCATAACGCATATGTGATGTAAAGTATGAAGCTAATGACATCATCAGACCTAAAGTTACAATGACGAAAGACCAGGTTTCAAAAATTGCTTGATATCAATCCTGAGAAATCGTCCCATTAAATTGGCCCATTAAATGCAAGAAGAAATACAGGTTTCCAATTTCTTGAAGTCCCAGTTAAAAGATATCCTTAATGATACCTTTTTGAGCGCTTGCGTTGATTGAACCGTACAATGAAGCGGCGTGGTTGCTCTGCACACAGAACCACAAAGGACATGGGGAGTCTTGCATTGGGTTACATAAATTGGGTTGAATAAAGGCAGTGGTCGTGGCTCCTAAAGATTGAATTTCGCTTTAAAACGTCTAATCCTTAGTTTTTCTCTTTCGGATTTCGACACATCAGTCGTGCTGTTTCCGTAAAGAGCATGCATTTCATTCACGATATCAAAAACCACCGGTGCCTCTTTAAAAATCGCACTCTTGCAATTTTCTTCAGTAGATCTGGTAGAGCAAAAACAACAACTGTAGCTACGTACAGTTTGGATACGTGCACTGTTCTGATGGTGGTTTTGTTCCCTTTTGTATTCATTTTGTCTTGAAGTTTTGTTTTTGTTTGTTTGTGGCAGGGATTCTTCCATGCAATAACTGTGTCTAACTCCCCTCTGGTCTGCCATAATTTTCTCCAAATAACGAACGTGATTTTCCGCTCTTTATGAACCGTGTAATCTTACGTTATTACACGATCCTACATTACGTAATATCCCGTACTGCACGTGTAAGATTCTCAAGGCATCTTTTACGACCGCAAAGACGTACAGCGACTCTGTCGGATCATTCCTACGTTAAAAAGAAACTGTCAGTTTCAATATTTCTTATCCCGGTTGTTTTAAATTATAGCCGAGGATTTTACCTCCCAATCATTTTTAGCGTCTGTTCTTTGCACAAACTGTTCCCTGTAGTTTTTTCTCTCCACTGGATCAACCTACCAAGTTCGTGGGGTAACTCGTGGCACAAGACGGCGATGCTGGTTGACAATCCCGCACCAATACTAGTGGCAAAAGCGGCACCTATCGCCAGACCGTCACCCAGGTTATGTAGACCATCCCCGATGAGAATCATAAACGGTAGGGAACCCATTCCTAATTGGGCAAATAAGAAGTGGTATCTGTTTGAAATTTTAACTATGACAAACTTTGCCGGATTCAGAAATAGTCAAAACTTTACACACTGTTATATACTTGTAGAAAAATCAATTGTGTAACTAAATAATTAAGAAGGCAGTATGTATCTCGATGTGAGAAACCAAAAAAAAAAGGAGCTACACACAGTCTGCATACTGACTAAGTTAAGAGATCTAGATCTGGTTCCAATATGGGCCCAAATGAGGCTGTACCAGCCAGATTATTACTACTTGAATGATGCACAAGCTGCATATAGTAATGACGTAAAAGAGTCTTTGTTTTACAAGTGAGGCCTTGCTCAATTTCCGTCCAATGTAACAATCGTATGGAATGAATGAAAGGTCTCTCACCATAGCAGGCTTTAGGCTGACTCTTCATTTGACTAGGCTCATCCGTAGCGTCTTCGTTCGGCACATCGCCTTCGGCTGATTCTAGTTGCGTGTTGGATACCGAGTGATGCTTGAGGGAGTTATCCATTGCCTCCTTAAGTTTCATACTGGAGGACCGCTTTCTCTTGGTAGGGTTATCTTCGGGATCTAGGGAATGCGAGTGTCCTTCCTAAAGCAAGAGCAAACAATAAAATTGCCGAGTTTCCTTTCTGATCGAGCCAAGCCAAGTCAACTAGCCACACATTATTTGTACGCTCAGCAAGAAGAGTGCCAAACGACATGAAGATTTGGCTGGGTGAACAAGCAAGAGACATATATACGTCCACATTAAGGCACTGGTACAAAACCTGCATGCTCATACAGTGTCAACATTTCCTTGTCTACAGCTGTATGGGCCCAAGCGGGGGCCATAGACCTTTATCATGGTGCTTTGTCTTGTCCCCCATTGATAATAGTAATACTTCTTATATTGATAAAAGGGAACAGACTTTTACCCCTTCCAGCCTCAGTTTGGTTACATTACTTTGAATAGTAGAAAAGCAAGATGGCTGCCCCATGATAGTGGTCTATGACGCAGTCGCAGTCAATCATTTATTTTTATTATTTTGCAGAAGATGTTTAAAAAATATCAGTGGACTTAAACAGACGTCGTAAAATAATTTATCTAACTGTGAGGATTAATCATAAAAACTGCGCCTCCGAAATGAAATACTACGCTGAGGTGAAACTCACACCAAACATTTGCATGACAGACTCGAAAACGAAGAAGGTGTAGATAGCAACGACAACCACCAGACACTTCCAAATGTAGGCAAGGTCCTCTGAGTGATCATGCGTGACGTCGTCCGTTGCAGCATGGTGTACGTGGAGTCCTACAGCCTGTTGGTCGAGAAGTCATACACGTCTACAGGATTTGTACGCATTAATTATAAACTTGGCTATTTCTTTCCCATTGTGAATGAAAACGAACTCTTGCTTAAAAGAGTTTGCTTAAAAATTCCTTGTCGACGAAGTCAATTATGTAATATTATATTGGTGAAGCGAAAACTACTCAAAACCCGATGCCTTACAATCAAATATGGCTACAGCTGAAACATCTGTTAGAAATGTGGCGTAAAGTGTAGAGGATACCAGAACACGCTATAGTGTATTACACACCATGAAGTCTGAAGTAGCTGACACATAGCACGATCTATTGTGAGGGTGTCATTGCCAATACCTGTGGAATGAGATGCACCACCGCGTCGCCTACCAAGGTAGCCACAGCCAAGGCCATCATAGTTTGCAAGACTTTTAGATAGGCGTCCGTATTGAGACAGGGAAGGAAAGCCACACCAGCAATAGCGCAAAGGCTGGTGATAAAGACGGCCAGTACGCCATAGCCCCAAACTACAGGAATTGGAAAGATACAATGATATCATTGCGACAAAGAATGTGACTTTATATCCCATGCAGATAAGACAAATGGTGCAACAACCTGCTCTTGATATAACGGGTTTTGCCCTTACCCAATGTATATTAATATGCTCAGTGCTTGTCCGAGAGCTTGCGAAAAAACCTCACAAGCTTACTCACGTGGGATTCAAAAAACCCATTATATAAATTGAACATCTCCCCAACGCAAAAAAAAACATCTTGAGAACCTGCTTTTTGTAAACTGCATGAGAACATAATTACTTTAATTTAACAGAAATAGTGCAATGAAGTCAATCATCAGACAGGCCTACAGTGTCTGGGAGAGATAAACTGAATATGGTGATGGGCCTTCCATAATATTTCGAATTCTGCATCTGAACTGAAAATGAGGCCATGGGTGTTAGATTTCACGATGTTAGCGAAATACCGCCCAGCGCTATTTCTCAAAGAAGAAACAGCTTCTAAAAGCAAGAGACAGACAGCTTCCACTTTCAACAGGATATCCCTCGAATATAGTGCATTTATTAAAATCAGACCAAGTGGTAGACAACTTTTCAAGGGTGATTTTTGGCTTTAGACCCCTAAAATGGTGACAAAATGTACCGTTGTTGGCCTATACAGTCATCCGTCATGGTTGTAACAGACACGGTTTTCAATGCCCATCTGATTACGTGGGTTTTACCCTGAATATTGCGCTTGGGTTTTCCTCCCACCTCTGAAACTGTAACTGCTTCTCATTTTCTTCCCTTTTGTTTTAAATTCTGTAGGCTTGTGAGCCACAGTGCTTAGTGGGCCTTTGAGGAATTCTTGTTGTATTTACCAGAAATGATTAACAAGGGAGTATTATGAGTTTAGCCGATCTTTAACGTGCGTTTAAGACTGGCTTAGGGGAATGGACGCGACACACACCCGAGTTAGAAGCAGGCGAGGGGCATTATTAGCGTTCAGTCTCCTGAACAATAGTTTAAGACCGGCCAAGCGCATACCTACCCCTTTAATTAGTCAGACCGTAGTCAATATATGATGGCCTTCAGGCGATTTTGATTTTATTCCCTCATTTTTCCTTCAGAATTTTCCTTCATTTTTTATACGGCATCCCAACAAACCGCTCTGTTACAAAATACGCATGTGTGTAACCCTGTACACCTTCGCCACCGAGCTGTCCACGTTTTCCGAATCCGTCACCACGCATCAGTATGAGCATGTATACCAGGCAAGATAAGGGACGGAGGCAACCCCCTTACCTGTCTAATCCCTTTACAAACGCTATTGATACCTAACACCCCCCCCCCCGAAGTCTGTAAAGAATTCTTGAGATTACGATCAAACAATGACCAGCACACATGGGGGCGGTTCTCTCCGTCATATATCTCGCTTCAAACGCGAGCGTGTCCTATGCAATCTTGATGCATGGAGATCAATGCTCATGTTGTATCCAGGTGCCGAGTGATTTTCACGCAGCGGGCATTTATTAGTCTTCAGTGGCCTTATCAAATGTTAAAACACGACCACGTTGCTCGTTGTTGAATAAGGAGACTGTGTGAGGTATTGATGAATAATATTTAATAACAATTATGCTGGTCATCGTGGATGATGCAGCGTAAAAAGAATTGGCGTTAAATTCCATTAAACTGCCTAACCTTCAACCTTGAGATTATGGATGTGGGCCTTCGAAGAACGTTTGACAAATTTGTTGGTCCCTGTTACGTTTGGATCTTTTTTGGAGATATTCTTCAACAAACCCAGAGGTTTTCTTAGGAACCAGATCCACAATAATTAAGATCCCTCATTAACTGCCATCGTGACAAATCCAATGCCTCGTTTTCAGTTCAGATGAGTAGGTTTACATTTGCAAATAATTTAGATTAAGAAATGCCTGTACGAGTTCATAAGAAAATGTCCTGAACACAACTGTTCGACCAACCTTCAGCGGTGCTTGGTCCCACAGGCGTGGTGGTCTCATCCTTAACGCATGCGCCAGTGAGAGTCTGCTGAATGAGGGCGGGGCCTAGAGCCATGAAATGCTCACGTGACACGCCCACACTGTGATTGACACCAACGACGTCAAAAAAGCCATGAGCAGTGAAACACTGCAGAAGTAAGAATCACAATGAAAACTAACCTTAATTTCTGTCGAAGATGTGTGCGTTAGAGTTAGAGAAACGCAAAATCGATAGTTACGAGTGTTCGCTCGTCACCCAGCGCTCCAACAGGGCGATGGGAAGGGCCGATGGCCGCGCACTGATTTGAGTGAAAAAAAAGTCACACGGGGTCACAGCTAACGATGCACGGATCATTGTGAGTAATTTCTCCCTGGTGCGCAAGCTCGCTAAATGCGTTTCATATGCGGCTGTTATCAGTTCAATATTTTTCCTTTTCTTCCTCATTGCCCAAAATATTCTCACTACACTTTATTGGTTGATCCAAAATTGATAAAGATAACAAATGATTTGAAATACATCGCCAAAAGACATGTGATCAGTGATACTTCGAAGATAAATTACCACACTGTGATTTGTACTAAGGCCATGTTTTTATCACTATAGCCGACACTGCCCGTGTCAAGGCATTTTCATAGAGGGATTCCAATACGACGCTTTTGGTGTTGATCTGCGCACTTCCACGTTTGAAAATGAGGCTGTATGTGTCAGCTTTAATTCTTAATACGATCAGACGATGGGAAGTAAGGAGTCAAGACACAAAATACACAAGGATTTTGTTAAATTCAGACTCTTCCGGTGGCGAATTTTTGGGGAAGAGTCTTTCAGGATGACTCAACGCGTAAAATCAAAAGAAAAAATACCGGCAACTTACCGCGAACTAACGAACCCGCGATGGTAGTGTATCTGCATGTGCAGTGGACTTGGTTTAAATTAAACTAAAGTGGTGAAGCTCACGAACAAGCATGTTGACTCCGCTGGCGCGCACGACGAAGTGCAACACAGAGAGCCTCGGTTTCGATGCGGATATGCGCAGACGGCGTTAATGTGAAATCCCTCTATTGACGCACCAAAAAACTTAAATAACGCTTTGCAAACAGAAAGCAATAACCTCGCGTTCACAGGTCGTGCACAATGTAGCCAATCACAGTGCAAAGCCAATGGTCCTTCGGGCGGTGGGTAACGAGCGAATTATCAGTGAAACTCTGATTCAATTCAGTGTTACCAGCGCCTACACGTCTTAGTCTCAACGGTGTGGGGGGCGCCTTCCCCATGACAATCGTTGCCCACACTTGCTTATCCTGATGTAATCCCGATTATGTACATGCATATGTACAACATCCAGTAAGCCCTCCGCCAACTTCCCCCCCCCGCCCTGGGTACCGTGGCCGACACAGCACCCGAATAAATTCAAATTAAAGCGTGGGCAAATTCACCCCTCGGTATAGGAAATTTCCACACAGTTGGAGAATTCCAGCCATAAAATGCTGTGAAGTCATTTAACGATTGAGAAAAAATCCTCTCTTTAGTTACTCTCGTCGATGCAGGTTCGAAACAATGCCGTTGCAACATTTTAAAAGAAAAGATAACAGTACAAAAGTGTAAAAAAGGGAGCGTCTTTTTAGCGCACATGTAAACAAATACATGTATTCCAGTGCGTCACGTGCAAAAAGCACTGAACGCACTGCCATTCGTTGTTTCGCCCGCTGCATGCCCACGCTGTTGAAAATCGCGGTTACACGCGTAAGACTGGTGGTCTATGTGTTTATATGTCTGTGGATGTTTATAGAGATATTAACATATAGAGCACCCCCAAGCATTACAAAAAGATGTCTTCTTTTGTTCCGATCGGAGCGGATAGACAAATACAGTGAGACACCATTCCAAGGGGCCATTTACACTCACGCAGCTGTCTCAACCTGATCGCGTGCGCAAATGACTACTGCCTATTGGTCAATGAGAAATTTCACGCGTGCGCACCGCCTGAGTGCGAATGGGATGGACCTGTAGTATGGCCTCTAACGTTGATCGTAAGATTTTATTGTGAACTCACGGCCAGGTGCGCAAGTTTATAATTAAAAGCTTGTGGTGCAGGCACGCGTAACGAATTGTGCTGGGGCGGTTCGGCGACCGAACCCTCAATTTGTTTCAGCTTTGGTCATTGGTTTAGCGTTTGCGCGTCTTGGTTTAGACTTGAATCGATTTGGATGTTGGATTTACGTTGCTCTTCCCCAGTCAGCCATCCCTTCCCTGAACACACGGTTGCGCCCATCCGCTTGCATAACTTTTTTTAAATTAAAGGAGCCCTTTAATAGTCTTTTTGCGACATCCAGTGTCAAAGACTACAGGCCTAAACACAACGAGTCCCACCCAGAGTAAGCGATTTTTTCGCAAGCTCTCAGACTGTTAATGGATATTATACGTCGGGTAAAGACAAAATCCGTAATTAAAATTAAGTCTAGACGTAATTAGGCCTGTGCCTCTACGGCATTATTGATTCGACCGAACGAGGACCAAAGGCTCGAGTTGGTCTAGGGCAAAGAGCTCGATTACATTACTGGAGTGCTAACTTCCCCTTCTTTCGCGTGGAGAAAATTTGACAGCGTCCTGAGCGCAGACATTTTGAATCCATGTGCATGCTTGTAGAACATCCGAAATTGAATAGAATGAATTTCGAATCAAGTACTCTCAAAGTAACGCGCATCGAGTACCGATAGGATTGGATAAAAGAAAGTAACGGCAAAATTATCGACAGGCATACAGGTCTGCGTTATTTACACAGAGCAAAATGAAACGTTCATTTACTGATTGCGCGTTTAGGTCTTTTTGCGTGTCGGCTTTGTTGACGCATCAGCCTGAGACTCAAACATGCAAATAGCCGTACAAAAGCCGTAAAATTTCGAGTTTTTATATAGGTCTGTGCACAAACATGGATGCGCTCAGCAGGCATCATTTTAAGTCAGCGCGATTGTCAGCATTCTCGTTTTTATGTATAACTGTATAGTTCAGCGCTGGTTCAAAAATGCGGACCGTAAATAGACAGTTTTTATTGCCTCTTGAATCAGTGGATTACACATTTAAAATTTGTTGTGTAGGCAGATAATCGAAGAGGTACGTTCTTCTAGAACTTACGTGGAAAGAGAAAGAGCATCAGTTAGAAACAAGTATAATATTCAGCGAAAATGATATTCATCAACAGTGTCGTCTGCTTCCTTGCGCTAGCCTCATTGATATGACGTACACCGTTTCAGGTTAGGGCAATAGCGGCACCCTTACTTCTGGTTATTGCTTTGACATTATAAATATGCTTCTAGTTAGGGCTTGTCAAAACACGCCTCATGAATGAATGGCCTCCCTGTGTGCCACCTGCATGCAGGAAACCAGTGGGATAACTTCTCACCAGCCTGGCTTTCTTTAGCCGATAAGGGGGTACTTCAACTCATGGCGGATACCCTGAATTTACTTCATTCAGTGTATCAAGTGGCGTGGTACCTGGCTATTTTGGGTCCTGTGCCCTGCTCTCGTTTATACTTACATGTTGTTTAAAATACGTACCTTTATTCATCATAATAAGTGAAATCAATCTGTAATTAACTTTTAATTTCATTGCGTTCATTTTTATTTTCAGTTTCTAAAGGAAAAGAATCCTCATTTTTAATTCAATGTGGCCGACTTTTAAATAAGGTCAATTAGCAGCTATCACTGCAACACCTTCTGGTATAGAGGTGCACGCGGTTGCTAGACGGCTCAGCGACCAGAAAGGTGCCTTAATATGCCAATAAACGCGCACGTTACGCTTCAGAACGCGCGTGTGAGTGGTGCGTTATATGGCATCTCTTAAAAATAGTGTATGGAGCTTCCAGGTCTACATTTTGAGCAAACGTAAAAAGGCCCTGCCCTACATCACATCACCATAAATATTTATAGGCAATCCTGCATGATCTCTCTTCAAGTCAGCGTGAGAAACGTAAAGTAAACTCACTGAGTGTACGTCGGGTGGGTGATCATGATCGTGATCATGATCGTGGTCATGATCGTGGTCATGATCGTGGTCGTGGTCTTCGTCGAGGAGGGTTGCTACATTCCGTCTCTTGCGTTGTCTTCCAGCTACAACTCGACGGAAGTGGGGTGCGTGATCATGATCGTGATCATGATCGTGGTCATGATCGTGGTCATGATCGTGTCCTCCTTCGCTTCCAGCAGAGAGGAGGGTTGCTACATTCCGTCTCTTGCGTTGTCTTCCAGCTACAACTCGAAGGAAGTGGGGTGCGTGATCATGATCGTGATCATGATCGTGATCGTGGTCATGACCGTGGTCATGACCGTGGTCATGATCGTGGCCCCCGTCGCTTCCAGCAGAGAGGAGGGTTGCTACATTCCGTCTGTTGCGTTGTCTTCCAGCTACAACTTGAAGGACGTCGGCTGCGTGATCATGATCATGATCGTGATCATGATCGTGGTCGTGGTCGTGGTCGTGATCGTGATCGTGGTCGTGATCGTGATCGTGGTCGTGATCGTGGTTCGCTTCGCTTCCAGCATAGAGCTTGTCTATAATTTCCTGGAATTCTGTCAATAATTATAATAAAAAGAGCATCTCGGAAGTTATTTAACAGCGGAAAAATGTTTTATTCGTCTATTTATTTATTAATTTCTCGGGAAACACAGGCAAACAAAACAACAAAACATAAATTTTCATGATGGAACAAACACTGGTAGAACACTCTTCAGGATTTAAAATAAGTTTGAAAAAGTCTTACTTCCTTCAGTAATGTAGCCGTGTGAAGCATACGAATGGAATATATCCTCCAGGAACGCGTCTGGATCTAACTTGGTGGCATTACCAATGCAAAACCCACGGAATAGGCTGGATATCAAAATGGCCCCCACGTGCTCAAGCTCGTGGTCGTCTGCTCCCAATTGGTGGTCGGCTACGGTCTCCTCGAAGACAGTTTCTGCGGTGAAACACTGCATAGAGGACAAGGAATCGGAGCCATTCACATAAATGAAATCTAATATTCAACATCACAGTTTCGCGTACATGTCAAAATTCGTCCATGTTTTGTAGATTTGTAGATCTCTTTATTGTAACGCCAGGGACTCCTTTTAGGGCAATTTGCGCGCATTACTATTCATCATATTTTTCATTGTCACATTTACTCCATTTATATTTATTTCCTCCAGAATTTGCACTGAGATCACAGCTTCAAAATAGATGAGGCATACAAAAGGGGATGGACCATCGATGTCGGAGTGCATGTTGAGTAGTAGCTTTGCAAATGTGAGTCACTAGAAACAATGTTGTGAGAAATGACTGCATTTTAATTCAGACCTGAGGGTCAGGCAAGTTGATACCTTTAAGCATTATAGGCATTGTACGGAAATATAAAGTACCTTGGCAAAGTTGGTAGCTTTATAGGTCGTGGCCACTGCACCCAAAACGTCCTCCAGCTCTTTTTCAGACAGTTTCTGCGTGCTGTCTAATCTCGTGAGAAGTCTCTGAACGTAATCTCCGTACGTCAGCCCAGACAGATCGGCCGCGCATGCGGATTCCAGGTCGGCTGCGTAATACATGAGCACGACGCATGCCCGGTTGAAGTTCTTTTCGTTAAGGCCATAGCTGGGTGGAATGCCAAGAATGGAGAATATGCTGTCGTTCTCAAGACACTGCATATTGAAAAAGGAACAAAAATATTGACAAGAGTGGTTTAGTTTCGTTTGTATTCAACTAAAAATACTGTTCATGCCAAGATGCGAATTCTTAATGTAGATTGCGTCATTGGGAGAAAACAGAGAAAACGAGGGGAACCGTTGCCCTGTGCTCGTAGCAGATAAACCCCTGTGTTTGCCAAACAACGGCTTCATGCACATTAAACGCAGGTTTCAACTTGTTACAGTTAAGCTTTGAAGACAAAAATTCTAATGATGCTACGTTAGATTGGGAGGTTTCCATATTTATTTGAACAGATAAAATCAGAGAAGACATGTTTTCCTTTGAGGCACGTCATAGCACATTTGTAACGGTGCCAAATTCCGTCGATGAATCTGATAACATCAGTAACGGTCATAGTGTCTGCAGAACGCATTCCAGGTCTGTTGTAATCTAATTTGCCCTTCAATTCAGTTTGTTTCCCTACTGGAAAGGAAGCCGTTTCGCTTTCAAGAATTCTCACCAGCGTCTCCGGAGTAGAATGTTGACATCTTGGGATGAGGCGTTAACATCATGACAACAACCAGAAAATGGAAGTCTTGATTTCATCATCTGTTCAGAATTACGGTCACAGTTTGACGAGTGATCAAACCATGTCTTTAATAAGACGAAATTGATTCCCTCTTTGGCACAAAATTAGTGTCACCTATTCCGTTTCCATCGTGAGACAAATTTAGGAAACCAACCCTTCTCGCTAGACTACCTTTGCAAAAAAGATATGTGCTGACGTTTTTCATAACAGGATAAATGTCACACAGGTTAAGGTTACCGTGTGAGCTTGTTGTATTCTTTCAGAAGGAAATACGCACATGGACACGTGTGTAAAATAAACACCTTAACAGCGAACAAAGTAAGCTGCAATAAACAGATTGTTTCGTAAAATACTTGCATAATTTTCCATCATCTGAGTCATGGATTGTCCATCATGTGTCACTGAATTCTATTCAAAGGTGCCCGCGGAATAGAAATTTTTCATTTCGCTTGACTGGTTCCGCTCTCATTTCATATATCTCATTTTCAATGAGAAAGAGGGAAAATGCTGAAACGGAAACCAGCCTAGCATTGCACGGTACATACAAGGTGGCACTTCGGACACGAATGTGGTAAAAATATTTTGACAAAAAATTTGAACCGGGTCAATCATCAAGCGTGAAAATGGCACACGGCCAGACATGCTTGGTCACTTCGGTGCGTCGTAATTCGATTCAAACCGCACACGCAGTGAGTCCTCGATCATGTCCGTCTTCTTGCGTTCGAAACTTTTCCACACCAGGCAGGGATCACGCTGGATCTTATTCTCCAATTAAGAGAACGTAAGTTTCCCTGGTCATGGGTGCTAAAGACATTAAAGACATTACTTCTTGGAAGTTCTGCTGCTGTTCATCGAAACGGGGAACCTTTTGTGGATCACAGCTAGGCAGAATACCACCCTGTAGGCCCCTATAGTCAGACGGTCCTACTGGAAACATACAAAACCCTGGTCTTCCCTGAGGTAAAGTTGAATCAGTAAGCCTACACAAGTAAATACTGCAGAGAGATAACCGAGAGAATCACACGGTGAAAACAAACAACAGCCTGCGTAACTCTACCGGTACATGGGTTTGCTAACCAAGAATAAATACGCCAAAGGTCTGGATTCTGCGCCAACCACGTTAGCACAGAATTTCGTATTTGGTTATAAAGTGTATGCACAGGTTACACATTTAGGCTATGCTTCTGCAGATATTTAAAAAAAAAACTAAAACAAATTCATGCAACTTTACTGCGTCCACAATAGTTTGGTGGTGTCCGTGTTTTTAACGAATGCTTGAATGTAAGCATTTGCACCTGACGAGGGGCGGGAGACGCCCGAAAATTCGCATTTAAGTAAGTTCCCACAGGTTGATATGGCTTTAAGAGAGGTAAATAAGTTGGATTGACATTTGAAATGGTGAAAAGGGGCATCTCCAAAACATTTTCCACTCAAAATCGAAATTCATGCAACCTACAGGTATGGACAATCATAGAGGAATATGTTCTCATTTAGAATTTTATTCTTTGTTTTGTTTAATTACTGAGTTAAACACTATCCCAAGCACCAAGTTGTTTTCCATAGTATGCCGGTCAGCTTTTGCCATATATGTACGCTCCAAAGCGAGCCAGTGAAGATAAGTATACGGACGCTTCGTCTTGGCAATCACGCTTGCGCAAAAACCCGCGCACACGTAACAGAGCTAGCTAAGGGTTGGACCGATTAGTAAAAAAATGGAATCAACTACAAGACTTTTACAGAATGTTCATGAGTTTTGAATGGGGCACACTAAAGTGTGTCAACGGAGCATTTGAACACACAACGAGAAAATATGATACTATCAAAAACGATGGCAAGCAAGTTACTTATTCGTGATCACGTCCGAACTTTGACACTCTCGGTCACGGTGGGGTGATGCCATAAATCCCAAACTATCTGTGCCGCGTGACAGCCGTTCGACGTCTTCAAATATCATATGATTGGATAATGCCACAAAAGCTGAAACACCTCCAGCCCCCCCCCCAAACAAGTTACACAAAAACCTATTTGCTAGTTTACCTGCACATGCTGTGAACATAATGACAGGGGGTGGGTTCACATAAAAATAAATGATTTTAAATTTCCTGTTTCCGTGGAAATCACCTTGGATATTTTGCTACTTTGTTACACATATCAAATCACTTTTTATACGAAGAGCAAAAATCGAGTTAATTTCAGAACATATGTGTAAATATCTCTACGCACTTTTATCCTTATTGCGCAACACACCAAAGTTCCTACCTTGTGGCAATTTGCAGAGTTGAAGTTGTCACTGCAATGCAGCTCATGTTCGAACAATAAATGAATAAGCCTAGCTGTCTCATCGCGCGTGATGTTCCTGTTAGCACTGAAGGAGAGATCTCTTAATTGACCAAAAATCTCCTCAAAGGGGTCCCCAAAGATCGAGTGGGAGTGATCGTGGTCATGATCGTGGTCATGGTCGTGATCATGGTCATGATCGTGGTCGGTTTCCTCGGTGGTGATCTGACCGGCTGCGAGCACGTGGAGGCAGCTGAAAATCCCAAACGCCAACAAGTAAATTGTGCACACGGCACGAAAATTCACCTTGCGGATCAGGGCCATCTTAATTTGAACGTGCTATGCACTGTGCACAACGACTGGTTCTGTGAGACAAGTCTAGGGAGGTTTTGCAGACGGCACCAAAACTGAGGAGCTTATGAATAATCTAATACTGTACTGATAGCTGATACGTCACTGCTCCTGCGCCCTGGCAAGCTATTGGTGATTAGTTTAAGCACTGTGTTTATCTCATATTTATTCTACTTGTACAATCTTCATAGGATGCCTGACCCACAAAAAGTACGATCCATTCAGTGCAAACTGAAAATAGACTTTAATTTGCATAATGCACACGGCACAGGTTTGGACAAATCCATTGTATCAATAAATAGGGCTGTATATAGTATATTATATATATTAAGTTATCTAGGCTGTACTCTGGCGTGATCGCATGATCCCTCATACATTATTATCTTACTAGTGGGATGCCGCGCGGCACTCGCTAATCCATGGGTTGAGCTGAGACGTCAACGCCATATATTAGGTAATGTTTTCTCGATTATACCACAGTTTCGGGATTTGGACAATTTTCAGACTTATTATGCTCAAAGAGAACCTACTTTGCGCGGGGTTGGGCCCGTGAAGTGTGGACTACAAGAACATTTGAGAAATAGGAAGCAGTATGACAGCAACTCATGCCTTCTTTTGGAAATATTTCAGCTGTGCCACGCCACCTAAGATTGACGGGAGTAAAGTCTGCTGAGTGTTCTGTTCTACTGGGCATTCTTAATAGGATAGGAACGATTTATTGAACTGAATATAAGAAGAACGCAACGTGTCGACATAGTTTCGTCCGTCCCGTTTTCAACTTTAAAAGCAAGACTCCGTGCACAGAAGACCATTCGAATGTAATGTTTTTGACGTGAGATTTAAAAGCTTCTAGCCGCATCTTAAAAATACAGAAGTTTTATTTTTATTGGCATAAGTAAGAATTTAGAAAATACGTACAGATAAAACAAAACCTTATTCCCCTAAAACTACGCAAAAAGAAAAAATACGCTCAATTAACATAAAGTATTGACTGTAGCGATGTTTCAGATGATGTTGTTAGGATGCTGTTAAGCTGTCGCTGGCACATCTTTGAGTACTTTTTATATGCTCCGACATTAGCCTAAGGATGTGGAAGGCCCATAGCGTTTTGTGGTATTAGAAAAGTGGACGTACTAAACTCCGAAGGATGTGTAGCTAGCCAAGCCCGTGTTTAAGTGAGGGTTTTTGGAAAAGTGTGCGAGTTAACACATGCACTTTGTTAAAGACAGCCTAATGATGTCTAAAATCCTGAGGGTTAATTTTCTCTGAAGCAACTGTCAGCACTGTGGACTTGCCAGGTTTTTAAAATTGGTAGTGATTTTTGTAGGTACTTTGAGGAAGGAAATAACTGCTCTTTGAGATTGTTACATACGCCGATGTGACTGTGCACATAAGTAATGGAGGAGGATTTATCGGAGACTTCAATGTCAGGTTCGCAACATGTAGTAAATACAATCGCCGGGTTTCGGCAATTTTTAGACCTAACGATGCTCAAATAAAGAGAACTAACTTGGCATGTGGAGTGGCCCATTGAAATGTAGATAAAAAGAGCATTCAGGAAATAGGACGCAGTATGGCAGTAAATCCTGCCGGAATATTTCAACCGTGGGAGGCTACTCAAGTTTGATTGGAGTAAAGTCTGCTGGGTGCCCTGTTCGACTCAGGTTAACAGGAACGATGTCTTGAGCTGAATATAAATAGAACTTAACGCTTCGACACATTTGCGTCCGGCGCTCCCCCGTTTCAACAGTTAAAAGCAGGACGACGTGCACAGAAGTCGAGTCCTGTGTTATGTCACCGTGACTGACATAATTAGATTGGATCAGAGATTTACTGTCTGCATCATAAAAAACAGATGTTTTATTTCTATTGGCATGGTTAAGATCATAAAAGGCACATGCCAATAATTCAGTAGGGCTGAACACATTAAACCAAAATCAACGCGAGAAAGGATTAGGTAATTAAGCACCATTCAGGAATTGAATCATCAAGGCATAAAACATGAGGGGAGAAGTCATTTTAGCAGAGGTCGGCAACGAACGTTAGAAGTTTCCGATCGTGGGCTTTCGAGTTCGCCCTTATCAATCGTTGATACCTTCGGTTTCAAACATTTACTTAGTGTTATTACTTGTGCTATGTACATGTATCATGTAAGTTGAGTGCTCACATCGTATTGACGATCATCGTCTGCGGTGTAATAATATTAACTATTCTTATTTTGCTGAGATGAAAGTGAAATTGTGACCTGGCCAATACTTGTTATTGGGGAATAGTAGTTCCTTAGCCAAATAGATCTGAAGAGCAGGCACCGAAATACGTTATATTTTTGTTACAAAGAAGTGTTTTGTCTTTTCTAACTATTTATTGGACGTTACTTCAGAATCCTCCTAGGAACATACCAGCTCAGGGTGGGTTAAAATCAATTTGCATGTTTGGGATTGTCATATATGTTATTATTTTCTTGTAATGACCAAGCGCCGCATGTATATATGCAGGCAATTATCTGGTATACTGTCAGCTGATTGGTAACCTGAGATCGTCTGCGGTGCCGGCGCCGTGGGATCGACACGGAGTGCCGCTGGTACAGCGTCGTCACGGACTTGCACAAAAAGTACAGATATAACAATGCGGGACCAGGGAATAGTTGTGAATATTCATTTTTTCCTGTTGACCAATCACACAGCAAGGTCGTAAATGTACCATATCGCCCAGGGACAAACGCTACAACATGATGCAAGAATAGCGGGGACTGCGTGGACGTATCCTGAATATTTAGCAAATTCCCGGTGACCAATCAGGCTGGAATGGTCTAAAGACAAGTCAAGTCACAAGTCTCTTTGTCCAAGTACAAGTCAAGCTTGCACATTATTTTGTCCAGCTGTAATAAGCAAAAACTACCCCCCAAACAAAAAACCCCAAAAAATCCAAAAAACAACCAGGTATCAACTTACGAAGTTAACAATGTCAAGAACAATGTCTTGAAAATACGAAAATATATCACAATTAATAAACGTGGCTGCACCCATCAACGAAAACAGGATCCCCTCTGCATGTTACCTGTCCCAATGAAAACCAACAAATCCAAATAACTGCAAAATCCTTTTTCGTGTAACAACAGAATAGAAAGCAGTCGCAGCGCCGATAGGCTTGATAATCAGTTGGCGTGGTTTACACATCCAGTTTCCAACTCCAATCATAGAAGTACACGCTGTACATGTAACTTGCAGGTATGGGCATTCGCCGCAGAATTTGTTCTCATTCAGAAATATATTCCATGGTCCTGTAATTAATGAGTTCCAGACTATCCCTAGACTTGAATCAAGTCGAACTTACGTTGCTCTTCCCCAGCCTTCTCTTCACTTTACACAATACACGGTCGTCGCGCTCGGCCGCTTGCGTAACTTTTTAAAAGGCGCTCTCATTTCATAGTCTTTCTGTGATATCTGGCGTCAACGTCAAAGATTGTACATTTAAGCAAGTTTTGTTCTTTATTGGGATACAAGATGACTCAGAATAAAATTCTTTCTCCACAAAGCATTACCTCTTACTTGCATTGAAGGGAAACACGAGAAAATGGCGAAATCAGCTTTATGAAACTGTGGTTCGTGCACCAAAGTAAATATGCAAATTTATGTTAATTCATAACATAGAGGAAAATTCTACATTTGCAAAGCTTTTTACGGGGTTTTGCTGTAACACAAAAATCACTGTATAATCACTGAGCACGTCCGTTGCAAATACTTTCTGTCAATTACTTATACATTTTCACAGAAAACACATTGTAGCACAACACAACTTTTAACAGTGTGGACTTTAACGCTCTCGGTGTGGGGTGTTACCGACATTCTCGAAATATCTGTCGCACACCAGAGCCATTCCACTTCTTTATACTGAATGCTTGGATAATGCCATAAGAGCGAAAACAACAAAATGTTACGCAGAAAAAGCTCATTTGCACCTTCCATGACGCATGCTGTGAATATAATGATCGAAGTGAGAAATTCACACAAAACGATTCCAAATTTATAGAGTGTTTTTGTGGCTATGAAGTAAAAACTGAATCCTCTCGGAAGTCACCTTGGATAGTATGCTGCTTTGTTACACATGTCAAATCACTTTTTATACGAAGAGCAAAAATCGAGTTAATTTCAGAACATTTGTGTAAATATCTCTACGCACTTTAATCCTTATTGCACAACACACCAAAGTTCCTACCTTGTGGCAATTTGCAGAGTTGAAGTTGTCACTGCAATGCAGCTCATGTTCGAACAATAAATGAATAAGCCTAGCAGTCTCATCGCGCGTGATGTTCCTGTTAGCACTGAAGGAGAGATCTCTTAATTGACCAAAAATCTCCTCAAAGGGGTCCCCAAAGATCGAGTGGGAGTGATCGTGGTCATGATCGTGGTCATGGTCGTGATCATGGTCATGATCGTGGTCGGTTTCCTCGGTGGTGATCTGACCGGCTGCGAGCACGTGAAGGCAGCTGAAAATCCCGAACGCCAACAAGTAAATTGTGCACACGGCACGAAAATTCACGTTGCGGATCGGGGCCATCTTAATTTGAACGTGCTGTGCACTGTGCAAAACGACTGGTTCTAGTCTAGGGAGGTTTTGCACACGGCACCAAAACCGAGGAGCTTATGAATAATCTAATACTGTGCTGATAGGTGATATACCTGACCTACAATAAGCATGATCCGGTCAAGTGAAAACCGAAAATAGATTTTGATTTGCATAATGCGCACGGCACAGGTTTGGACACATCCATTGTAGCATTAAATAGGGATGGATACTTTTTTGGAGTGTGACTTGCACGCGCTGTATACATGTAGTATAGTTAACCCGCCAACCGAGCGAGCACGGGGACACATTTATCCTTCCCATCTGCGTTTGCTGTTTTGCACATCCCAAAGTCTGAACGAGCGGATTTTTTTGCTTAATTATCTATTCTGCTAAGCACATTGACTAACAACGTTGCGCACTGCAAAATTCGGTCATAG